ACACACACACACACACACACACGGTCAAACTAACCATTCAGGTACACCCATGAGACTACAGAGTAGGGTAATCGGACAGGATCAATGTCCATTGACAATTTAATTTTGATGACAGGAACACAGATTTCAATGGCATGTTTACCCTTTCCCGCAAAACGTCAGCAGACCTTAAATATCAATATCACAAGTTAGTAGCACAGAAACATGAAGAAATCAAGTTAGAGAAGCCTAAAAATATTGAAACACCCAAAGCCTTTTTGTTCTTTAATCATTTGAAATGTTTTCAACGCCCCCATCCAAATAATTCAGATAATCTAAGGGTACAGGCTGACTCGACCCTGCTAGTGGAGGCCATACCGGGAGTAATACCTAATAGCATCCCATCAGAAATGAGGAGATGCTTGATAGAAGTTAATATTATACTCCCATTTGGGGGAATTAAACCTACGCTTTCCGCATGGAACGATGTACTGACGCGGGCCAGATGTATGATGTAAAGCTACTGTACATTATGGTATTGAGCGTGAATGCCTACAAAGTAATTCAATGTTTGTTCCTAATGATTTTAGACTTCTTGTATGAAACTGAGCCGTTCTCTCTTTTTTTTTCTTAGCACATAAAGAGTTTTAACAAACGAATTGAAACGTACCAGAAATCTAAAAACGACAGATTTGAAAAAAGTCGATTTATTTTCTTATTTAGACCTATCCCATACGTCCATGTCGTTAATACTCGTGTATTATACAGGTGAGTGTGTGGGAAGACTGTTCGTGTCAAGGTGAAACAGGTCACCAGACGACAACTTGATGGGAGCCTAATAAATGTTTATAGCTCGCAACTCGAGAGTCGACTTGATTAAGGAGTCAAGGTGCTAATAATAATTGGGACATGACCTTTATAGCAAGAAAATAAACCTTTTGTGTTAAAATAAATCTTGCACAATATTTAGAGAATCTAAACAACGAGCGAGAAAGTTGTAGTAAGCCATAACAGGAAACGAACAATGGTAACATGTCTCTTATCCCATACCTAAGAAAGGATTATGTGTCTAGATACAATCCATTGGTATTTTTTATTTTATTGCATACTCTTTTGTTGTTTGTAAAAGCACAAAACCTTGAAAAGGCACGTGGAATTCTCTCATTATAGAACCGTATAGGAACAACTTTGTGAGTGGACGCTAATGCACACTGCACATAAGCTCTCTGTTTATCACGTTTGCACCTGATCTGTTCTCCCTGTTTCATACTATGCGTCCATTCTGTTCAACTCTCTGCTGTGTTTTCTTCTTGTCAATGGTTCTGTCTTATAAACTGGCAAAGCGACCCCCGAAACGTCTCCAAAATTTATAAACGGGTAATTCTGTCTTGTGTCACATTAAACTTAACAAAAAACCAACATGACCCTAACTCCCTCCACCCCCACCCCGGCCCCCTTTCCACACAAACACATATACATTAAAACAAAACAAAAGCAAAGCAAAAGACACGCCTCTGTCCCAAATAAAAAATAAATAAATCGGACGCAAGAAAAAAACAACAGCCCAAAACAAACAATAACAAAAAACAAGTTCATTTCGCACATCGAGATAGCATTATCTTCTCGTCCACAAAACTCTATTCTATTTCCCACAAAACTTTACAAAACGGGGATCAATCTGAACTCCGTAAACGGAATAACATGAGCAGCAATTTCCCACTCATCTACGACGGAATACCACAAGCACACACACACACACGCGCGCACACGAGCGCCCTCACCACCTCTGCCAGGCGCACGCGAAATGAGGGTCTGGTGGAGCCCCGATCTCCATGAAGAGGAAGAGAGGGAAAGAGAGAAAGAGAGAGAGAGAGAGAGAGCCAGGCATGTGTGCATAATTAGAGCTTGGCTGGTCCTCGCTCGGAATGTGGGATGGCCAAAAGCTCCTCTCTCACTCTGGTGGGCTGGGATCCCCTAATCACACAGTCTCGTCCCCAAGGGTCTGTCGTATTGTCTCAGAGTTAATCGGGACTTCGTCAAGGACTTAACGGTTAAAAACAAATGTTGATGCTCTATTTCTCTGTTGCTGTCGACACTTGAGGTAAGCTGATGGATGATAAGCTTTTTGCTAAAATGTTGCTTTGTTTGATAAAGTTACTGGTTTGTGTGTTTCATGTTAATTCAGTAACAACCCCCCCTTCCCCCCCAAAAAAAACAACAACAAAAAAACCCAACAACAACTACTAGAAATCATGAATATCAGTTACAGAGAATAAGACTAAGTTGGAAACCAGAAGGATTAAAAGTGTGCTGATTAAAAACGTTCGATTGCGGAAATAATTGACTAATATATTATGTTTTGGAAATAGTACAGATGCAACTGAAAAGAAATGAAGAGAAAATCCTCCAGTTTTTATACAAATATAATCAGCTCTAAAGGAACCACCACCCCACCCCTTTTCGCCACAAAGAGGACACAACAAGATTTTTTAAAAACACCTTCTAATCAATTAATTAAAAGAAACCAAATATAAAAAACCTAATTATTATGATGCTTGTATAACGGTTTTTCAAATGTACGTAAAGCCGACAAAAGGGCAAAAAACAAATTAAAGATTAAAAAATATATATATTGCATCTCTCTGCGCCATGTCACCTTCCCCAACCCCACCACAAGTGAAAAGTAATTAACCATGCTTCCCCTGCAAAAAATATCAAAACCATGATTGTCAAAATTGCAAGTCCCCTTCAACCTCCCCCCCCCCCACTCCCACCCCCCCAAAAAAACACCAAAAAAACGAAAAAAAACCCCTCTCATTGTTAAAATGCCAACCAACACAACATTTTTTACCTTTTCAAAAACATCAAACATAATACCCTCGCTTGATACAAGTACGTGGAAGATCAAATATATGTGGATGATTAATTAACATGCATTATCTTTTTTTTAAAAAGCCCTTAATGGGCGTTTGCAATTAATGATTCATAATGTATCATTTACGTGCCTTACATCTCAATGGCCTTGGGTTTATTTTTTACGTCTCCATTACCATTTACCATACACTACGTACTTTCCTCTTTTATCCCCTTTTCTGTTAATCTGCCTCTCACTCTCTCTTTCTCTCTCTTTCTCTCTCTCTCTCTGTCTCTTTCTTTTTTTCTTTTACTCTTTCTCTCTCTCAAACACACACAAACAATCTCTCTCTCTCTCTCTCTCTCTCTCTCTCTCTCTCTTTCTCTCTCTCTCTCAATCTCTCTTCTCTCTCTCTCTCTCTCTCTCTCTCTCTCTCTC